ATCTCTCACAAGTACACCACAGAGCATTTTCCAACCAATCGTTCCATTCAACTTGATTATTATCATCCCCAGAATCACTAGCACGTTCTGGCTTCAAGCTCAGCCATACTAAAGCTCAAAGAAACAAACACATTCTCGCACGGAATGACGTCACGGATATGTGGCCTGGCCTTCAAGATCCTTTCAAAATGGCGGTTCCCGGTGTCGAACTTTTCACTTCTTTTTCGTTAGGATCGCATCCACTTCAGAAGCTAACACAACGGTGAGTAACTCAACTCAATGTGAACTTTTTATTGGTGATGGGAAAAAAAACATGGTTTTTGGAGTGACCTTCTCCTTTAATAAGGCTTTGAACGACCCGGCCCAGGAGCTCCGCTTTTAGGCTTCCCTAAATCTATTTAGAAAACAGTCCTAAGAAAATAAGTGTGCTGATTGGCTAAAACTCTTGTTTCTATAACTTGATAGAAACACAGAACTAGCACAAGCTGTTGACGTAATGATGGCACAAGCAGAGAGAATTTACATTTTGATAACCAAAGTGAACAAGTTGTTTTCCTTTTTTTCATCGAGGTGTTTTCTAAAGGAAATAGAAAACGTGTTCTCTGTGTTTGTATCAAGTTTTAGTATAAATCTTGAGTAGCATAGCAGTGTGCCTTTGTTAAGGTATCATGGTAGGTGGATTGAGAGTGTTTGGAAATCGCGCTCTTATGCTGGCCCTTTGAAAGAAAACCCCATCAACCTGTACATTTTCTGAAAGCTTAATAGTTATAGAATACAATCATTTTGCAGTGATATTAAAAGAAATACCCAGAAACATGGCTTTGGTTAGCCTGGTTCGTTTCCGCGTGTGAATTATCAGAGCGACACAATTAACATCAGAAATGTTTTCTCACAGATCACCCTCAAAAAGGGTGACAGCAATTTTCCAGATGTGGTTTGGTGTTTTGTTTTTCTTTTTACACCTTCCTAAAGTTTGATATTTTCAATGCGGACATTTCCTTCTACTAAAGAGGCCATAACCTTGAAACAGAAGCGAAATTAACCAAAGCCTGAGACCCATTTTCAAAGGAGGTATCCTGGAACCTACCTGCCAATTTTCAGCCAATTCCGTCAGAAGAGACACATAAACGAACTAAAAATGTTCCTCCTTACATGCAGTTTTATTTCATTGAGAAAAAGACAAAAATCCTTTTGTGAGATTGGTATGGTAAGGTGTTTAAAAATCTCCTCTGCACTGACAGATGGCTTATGACAACTTGAAATAACAGACATCTACAATTCTGGCACAGAAACCCATCCCAGTGAAATCATCCAAGAAATGACAAACTTCCAACAGGTTTGTATTTAAACTGCTACAATTTCTTTTACTTAGAAGATTTTGGCGGTGGCATTGGTGTTATGTTGCTCAAGTTTAGGCTTCTTCGCTCTCCAGACATTTTTTGAAACCATGTCTCATGAAGCCAAAAAGAGGAAATCTCGAGGTCTACATCATCTACATCTACATCTGCCCTTGACTCTCTCATTGCGGAAGTTTCGGAATTGCATCCATTCTCTAGCAATTTCGTGCAACTAGCACTTGTTGTCGTTTGATCTTCAGCTTCTTTGGCGGGACTAGTGTCTACAACTTCCCTCAACTATTGCTCTTGGTTACAGTGCAACCCATGGTCGCTCAACTCAGTGCCAAAGATCTTGTTCAACGCCGAACCTGTGGGTTTTCTTGCATTTTCGTCTTGACATAAAGAAAATCTGACAAGAACAGAAGCTAACTTGCAATGAAACAACCAGATCGAGAACAGTTTGCGTGCACAAATGAAATATCACACTGCAATTTGCATTACACATGACAACTGGCAGTGAATTTTAATTAGGTGTCGACGCGCCATAAGGAGTTAATGAGAATCAAAAATAGTTTTTCTCTATATCTTAAAAGTAAAACAGCTTTTTATCTCATTCTTTTTACTCGGGCTTCCATAGGAAAGCCCAAATCTTAAAATGCAAGCATTTTGGTCGCCAAAAGGAGGGTCATGGTCCCAGGCGTTCCATGCGTAGACCATGGAAACTGGGGACGAGAAACATGACATTGCTCGCTCTTCGTGACAGAATGCCGTATTTTGTGAAGGAAGTTTTGGCAAGAATCGCACCTTATACGTTCATCTAACATACAATGAGGTCGATCATTTTCAGAAAGGGTCGGTCCACGAATTATATTGCTTGAAAGCCAGCCAGTTAAGCAAAGTTCACGCTCAAAACATTCTCGTGAGATGACAATTAACTGAGCCGATTGCGGTATGAATTCAATCTACGAAAACACTGGCAAAAAATAGGCCGTCAATGACGGTATGTGGCTACTACCGTTATTATTTAGAACATTGCAGTAAAACAAATCATATTGCAATAAAACGAGCTAAATATGAAAACATTTTTGGACTCGTAGCTCATTAAAAACATGTGACTTGTTTCTTGCACCGCGCAAAATATGTCGATCTCCAATGTTGTAAGACTTTCGGTAACTTGACTTAAATACCTTACCTCCAAGTTGGATGCTTTCTAGTAGGGTGTAGGAAAAAAAATTATCTGTGAATTTGGAGGCACATTGTGCGGGAGAATTAAACCTTCGATTGTGCAGGGAATTGTGCGGAATTATTGACGAACCAATGTTCTTGCCAAGTCCTAAGGAAAATCTGCATTGACGATAGTTTAGCCAGTTATTTCACTAGTAGTTCAAATATATTTAGCAGTCTTAATTAGCAATCACCAATTCGTTTAGAAAACTGTGTCTGACTGCAAAAGAAAATCATGTTGCATGACATGAACTAGACGAGCATGAAACCAAAATAAATAGCAAAATAGAATGCAGCATCTTCCCTTTTAAATGAGAGTCCTTTTTAAAAAATACTCTTGCCTTGATTCAATAAAAATATGTAGCTTGAATATTTCTTCATAAACTGTGTTAAGGGTCGCAAATTCTTGGAAGATATCCGCAAAATACACAACTTGAAAGTTTATACAAATTATGTGCAATGCAATTTGAGCCTAGTCACAGGACTGTTGTTTTCGCGAAGGAGTTTATCATGATTCATTTTGGCTCTCTAAAAAGGGATTATTCGCTCTCCAAAGAAGATATGACTCTTGAAAAGGGTTTAAGATCGCAACACGGTAAAGATATCCAGCTACACAATTTACTCGGATCACCACGACCAGTAAACAAACTTCGTACAATTTCTGCTAGCATGTACAAAGTAATCGCCGTAAGTTGTAAAAAGACCTTTCTTTGCAAACAACTTTTCCATCAATCCATAGACAGCTGTGCCTCATTCTTGAATCAAAATGGTTTAAACTCACAACTTGTGATAGGATGAGGAGGATCCTAAACGAAGCAACTTGAATAGTAAATATCTAAGCAAAACTCTTGTGCTAAAATATCCTGATTCTTTAGTTTGCTTTTATTGTGTCCAATACGTGTTTTCGTAAAGTACAATTTGATACTGTGGTACGAAGCCCGAGTAAACGCTCTTAGAACGTCTAGTTGCAAAATATTTATCTCAGTCTTCTCAATTTCACCAGCAAAAATAAGATTTTTCGCATTTTTCATAAAAATTCACCTACCATGATACCTTAACAAAATGACGGCCGCTTCTTAGCATTTTCAAAGTGTCTGTGAAGAGGATTTAGATAAAGTTTTGAGCCACTAGTTGATTTATACTAAAACACAACTGGCGCCCATTTTATGAAGCTTGATTTGGCATAGAAATTTTCGTAGAGCTCTATGACTCTACACTTTTGTCACATCTCCTCCTACGTGTTGGAAAGATACATTACCTCCAACTTCATAGCTTTTACCATAGTTGTGTATTGTTACTATGGTTACCTGCCTATTTCGTAACATTTGATTTCAATTTGTAGCATATTCTTCGCATATATCTCATATATATTTAAGTGTTATTAGTGTTATTACGGTTTACAGTGTTTTGATCATTTTCAATTTAAAATTCTGTATTGAGTCCACCATCTACACTCTACCCTTTACGGTTCTCTGTACGGGCATAGAGGCTAACAGTTATTGTAGCAAATATTAAAGCACTTGGGGAATGTTTAGTATTATTACGGTTTACAGTATTTTAATAATCTTTTTAGCTCGATGCTATAGTTCTATCATCTACATTCTACTCTCTGTGTTCTCCAGCTACTCTCTTCAATCTATGCTCTATGCTCCACAATCTACCATCTACCCTCTAGGTCCATCTACACTCTACGTTCTACCAGCTACTGTCTTCGATCTACGCTCTATGCTCTACAATCTATCATCTACCCTGTAAGCCCATCTATGCTCTACTCTCTATGTTCTACTAGCTATTCACTCTACACTCCACCATCTACCATCTATCATCTACCCTCTAAGCCCATCTAGGCTCTATTTTCTACATTCTACCAGCTACTCACTCTATGTTCTAAGATCTACCATCTACCCTCTAAGCCCATCTACGCTCTATTCTCTTCGTTCTACCAACTACTCTCCTCAACCTACGCTCTATGATCTACCCTCTAAGCCAATCTGCTTGGAAGGTTACTGGAATTTTTTAATTTCTTTTTCTAATTTTTTAATTTTTTCATTTATTTCCGACACACTTCGTCTCTATCTGAGACTTCTTCAGGGAATGATTTAAGCGTGCCTAAGTTTAACTTCCCACGGAAGTGAATAACTGCTGAAACATGCTGTAAACGGACATTACAAGAAACGCCTTCATGCACATGTTACTGCGTGTTGTTATATTTTGGGAGCCATACAATTAGCAGGGATGCAAATAACAGTCGGTCATTGGACATTGGCTGACCAAAATTTGCTCACGTCCGACAAAATCCGAACTGTGGTCAGACATGATGTCCGGATAATTTTTTTATCATAAATCATTTTATGGTAAGGTTGAATAAAAATCTACCTTGACTAAATCTTACTCTTTTTAGTGATGTCCGACACCAATTTGTTTTGACTGACCAAGATGGGGTCTTAGTAGGACATATGTCCTTTCAAGAGAAAAAAAATTATTTGCAGCCAATGATTAGCGTTAACTGTATGGCCCCAAAAATATTTTAAAAAGTTAAAAAATAATTTAAAAACATTAAAAAAAGATTAAAAAATTAAAACATTAAAAAAAGACATTTTTGTTTGGAAGGGTCCCAAAGAAACCTTATTAGAGTTTCTTAGTTGTCTCTATAGCAAGAATGATCGTATCAAATTTACGTACTATGTTATTGATGGAAGTAGTATTTCATTTCTCGATTTATTTCTTTACAAAGATGCTAATTTTAGAACTCTGCAGTTTTACTGTTTACAGATATTTACTACTTAAGTTGCTTTGATGAGTATTGTATGGGTCCGCAAATGATCCCAGGACCGCAAATGATCCCAGACCGGAAATGATCCCCATATTGGACCGCAAATGATCGCGATCAAAAAATAAGGAATGGCATGGATGGTGGGATTGTGTGGATAGGAAATTGGCGTACGTGAATAATGATGTTTTTATC